TTGCTGCAACAACCTTTTCGTCTCTTTAGCTCCCCCTATTGGTGAATCCAAACAAAATTAGGTAGATGGGGCTTACCGCTCATACTTTGTAAGGGTCTAGAGTCTCATCATTTTATCTTGAAAAATGGTGAAGATATCATCAATTATCTCATGTGCTAGTTAGCGCACTGAATTTGACATGGGATCATTAGCCCAATTTTCAATAATTCCATGTTTTTCTTCATCACAGCATCTTAGATTAAGCCATAGATCATATGTACAAAGTTTGAAATTGATTCGATGAAAAATGACAAATAGGTGATTAAAACTGTTTCGCGTTTTTTGCGATCTAGCAAAAAATCTAGTTAAGCGGAAATGGGCGTGGCCAAACAAAAAAGATGCAGAATCATCCAAGGATCATGTCCATATAAAGTTTTTTGACTGTAAGACCTATGGTTTGGGAGCTAGTAGCTGAAACGTATTCACCTCCGCAATAGCGCCACCTAGGTGACTCGGGGTCCAAATTTTCGAATCTGAGTAGCGGTCAGGATTTTCTATCAGAATGCCGTATCAGATTTTTCCTGGCAATTTCAGGCTCTTGTCCCCATACAGTATTAGCAGAAAAGAATAATAATGAAAAATCAATAGAAAAACAATAGGAACCCTAAATATATCTGATATCTAAGAAACCTGAGACGGGAGGAGCAGCAGTACGGTTTTTCTGTGTTTCACACCTACAAACTGAATTGTCAGCACAGACACATGAAACAAGGAAACATTTCAAAGAAGTGTTACTATACACATCTCACCTTGTGTGTCACGTTGCAACACACACTTCGGAGGTCTGAGGAAGTGGCGTTTTTGTGCTGGTGTGTGGCTAAATATGGTAATGAACCTGTTGTTTATTCTTATAAGAAGTGCTTTAAGATCAACTGAGCTTGTCCTGAATAAGTAAATGAATAAATGTTGACCTGGAAGCGTTCCTGGTTGAGGAGAGTCAGCGTGGGGGCGTTGGGCTCCGAGTCCTCCCCGTCCCAGCTGCCCTCTTCAGGGAAAAGAGGTGGATCCTCCTGGAACTCATCCAGCTCTCTGAACGTGTCTCCCAGAGTAAAACGTAAGTGCTCCCCCTCTCGTGGCAGAGAGTTGTGGGCATGGTAGAAGGAAAGGCGTGGAGAGGAGATTGACGGGTAAGGGGAAGACTGGTAGATGGTTGTCCCTTCGCTCCGTTCAGACATGAGGCTCTGGCGGGCGCTCGAAAGAACTTTATGATCTGCAAAGAAATAATTAAGCATGTGTTTAAAAGGGACATCCAATTTTTCTTTGAAATAAAACAAATCTATGTCCCGGACAGCAGTAGCTCAGGAGGTAGAGCGGGTTGTCGGAAGGTTGCAGGTTCGATTCCGACTCTGACCAAAGAATGCTGCTGATGAGACCAGCCTTGCCTGCTGGTGGCAGTTGGAGGGACCGGTGACGCCGGTGTTCGGCAGCCTCGCCTTTGTTTTTGCGCCCCAGGACAGCTGTGGCTACATCATAGCTCATCCCCACCAGTGTGCGAATGTGTGAAGCGCCTTGGAGGCGTGTGGAACCCTAAGATGGCTCTATACAAATACAGGCTTTTCACCATTTCTATGGTGCACACAAAACATGTTCAAGACATCTTTTGCACCAAATCTGTCTCAGATAAACCGACTTCAGCAGGTACATTTTCAGTGCCTTCCAGAATGAGCCGCTTCAGGGCTCTGCCAGATGTGGCTCACTCTTTTAATCAACATATTTGCTTTGGTCTCTAGAAGGAACGCCTTGTAAGTTGTACTCGGTGGAAAGAAAGCTCAGGTGCACTTGTTTCCAGTAGTATGGGTCAGGTGGAGGAGAAAGTAGCTTCAGAGCAGCGGGATTTGGAAACTTATTTCCTGATATTCATAAATCTCGGCTGAGATTGGGTAACAACAATGCAGCCCTACCACTGACTCCATTTGTTATGCAATGTTGATGTTTTATCTCCACAAGCAACACACGCCTGGTAGAGTTATGCAGTGCTGTTGAGTTGCTAATGCTAATGGTTAGCTTCTACTAGCTGAGACGTGCTCTGCTGTTTCCTGGATGCTTAATCAACAGCAGTCTTCCCTGTTGCGAGTCAAGACGGTTGAGTCCATGAATGTTAAGAGACAGTGGGATGTAGATCTTCATGTAGGCTTTTCAAATTCTAGAGTTTTACCGTCTGTTTTCCATCAGAAGCTAATGCAGGAGATAGGTGTAGGAGACTATTTTGTGTTCAGCCAGCTTGAAAATTCAATTCAATTCAATTCAAGTTTATTTATAAAGCACCAAATCACGACAAGAGTCATCTCAAGGCACTTCACATAATAAACATTCCAATTCAGGTCAGTTCATTAAGCCAATCAGAAATAATGTTTCCTATATAAGGAACCCAGCAAATTGCATCAAGTCACTGACTAGTGAAAAACTCAGAGTAACTAATTATAATTAAAAATAATAATTAAAATGGGTTTTAAATTAAAATAAACTAGAGCTGGCCATTCCCACCCATACCCCGCTCAGGCTGCTATAAGCTGAGAAGCTCTGATATCCTGTAGGAGCTGATGCTTCGTCAGCAGCAGCTCTCCCTAATTTCTCCATTTGTGACATCACACACAGGGCCTTTATGAAGTGGCTTCTATGAGGCGCATAATTCCTAAAACACTGGCAGTAAACAGATTTGAACATCTGGAGTTTTTATAAGGCAGTAGAGACTCGTGTGGCGTTTAAATGTGTTTAACCTCACCATGTTTGGGTCGACTGCGGATGTACATGAAGTCCGTCTCATCCAGTCTATCTGGTAACACACAAAAAAGTTCATCTCATCAAATCTCTGGAGATGTTTAGCATTTCTAAATACTGGACACTCGTTATTTTATATAAAACATCCCTGGATCCGGTCTAGTTGAGTACCTAGCCTGTAAACCGAGCTGATGTCAGAAGAGAAGAGTCTTTCTAGAAGGCTGCTGTCACTGGGATCTGAGGCACATGGGTTAACCTGAGCCAGGCTGGCCTTCTCCTCCTCTGTGAGAAAAACCAAGTGTTTGTCTCTGTGAGAAGGAAACAAGGGAAGCATGATTTCTGCCGTCTCACGCCGCTCAGAACGCACACACTCTAGCCAGCATGTCACCAACCAAAGCACAACGTTACAAAAACAGAGGCTGCGACTGGCTGGAACTTCTAAAACGTTCTTACAGGGGCGTTGCATTCAGAGGCTTGACGTGAGCTCTGTGCACAAAGCCGGTGTGTTCTGTGGAGGTGTGTTTCCCGATGAAAACCTCCACGCCTCGGAGCAGCAGACCCTGGATCTCCACAACGTCACCCTGGTTCAGCTGGAGCTCGTCCGGCGTTGCTGGACTGTAGTCAGCCACTGCTACACACGAACCTATCACTGGGGGAACAGAGGAGTAATTGTTCCGTCTGAAACTAGAACGATTTGCCAGGGAAACGAAATGCTTCAGATTAAGAGGAATCACGATGCATATTCAAACTCTGAGATGTTTTACCAATGGAATCTTCAAAGTGCTCAGTTTCTGTTGGTGAGCATCCAGCATGGCCTGGATACTTCCTCAGGAACCACCTGACCAAACAGGAAGTAGAATTAAACAACCAGTTGGTGCTCAGATTGTGTGTTGTGAATGACTCTCACGTAACATGTGATGTTAACTGTAAAACTTTGGTTCTATTCATTATTTTGTGTCTGCTAAAGCTGATTAGCTGCAGCAGCCATGTCGGATTGGATTGACGCTAAAAGCAAATCAGCTGTAGATGGAAACGACTAAGACTTTATGTGAGTTCCTTTTAATATTGTTCAGGAGAAAAGGTGCTAAAAATACAGAGAAACAACATAAAATCTTGTTTTCTATTATATTTAATGTCAATAAGTCGATGCTCAAGGTGGCTCACTGATAAAAGGGGTAGGGCAACGGCTGCATGGCACTGACTGGAACCAGGCCGTGGTTCCCAGTGGAGACCATGGTTCCCTCCCACAAGCTGTCCTCCTTCTTGTCTCTGACCATCAGCAGGTCATTCTTCTGAAACGACAACTTCTCGTCATCCTCTTCATCCTGCTCACTTGTGGCGAACAGCGACTTGGCAAAGAAAGATCCTGCAACAAGCCAGAAGGCAAGTAACAATCTAAACTGTTTTCAGGAGAAAGGGTTTTCTTCTACGCGGTCCTCCTTCAGCCACCAGTGATGAATGCTGTAAATCCTTTTCTCATTAAGTTAATTCAATTGTCTTCCCTGTTTGCCAGCACTGCAGTTATTCTATATGTTCTATGAGGCCTTTGGCTGGGGCACATTAGTGGTGCCTAAGCCTGAAGAGGCAGGAAGGACTCCAGACGTTTGTTATTATCTGCTGAAAGGTTTTGCTGTTGAATTTCTGTTTTAGAAAGATATTTTATTCACTTTTAGATGCATTTGGATGAAATGCTCAGAGACAAATGACTGGATGTCTAATTAGCTTAGCGATTAGCTTTTGGGCACGACTTTATGACTAAAACTAGGGATGTCCCGATCAGGTTTTTTTTTGCCCTCGAGTCCGAGTCACTTGATTTTGAGAATCTGCCGATGCCGAGTCCCGATCCGATACTTTCGATACATAAAAAAAAGAAAGAAAGAAAAGGAAGAAACTGTTCCAGAATGTTCCTTATTTTTTATTTAATAACCTTTTTATTTTAATGTTTAACAACAGATCACTTCTGTGAGGTAGCTTAAACAACCAAGTAATAAATAACATAAATTCTTCACTTCTGGACTTTATTGCAAATATAAAAAGTCTAATATAAAAACAGATAGCACTTCAACTTCAAATACCTGGCAGGAGTCTACTTTGCCTCGGCCCCCAAAATGCTTAGATACGTCCCTGGGCATGGGACGGCGTTTTGAAGATGATCTGAATTATCAACTATATAAATACCACATGCTGATAAAGTATTGCTTCATACAGGTACACACGTGTAGTGGGATCAATCTACCTACATTTTATTTTTTAAGAAGTTTGTTTTGTTTTCTTGGTTTTTATTTTCCTGTCTTCCTGTCCTGTCTGTCTCTGATCTTTCTGTCCCGTCTGTCTCTGACATTCCTGTCCCGTCTGTCTCTGATCTTTCTGTCCCGTCTGTCTCTGACATTCCTGTCCCGTCTGTCTCTGATCTTCCTGTCCCGTCTGTCTCTGATCTTCCTGTCCCGTCTGTCTCTGATCTTCCTGTCCCGTCTGTCTCTGATCTTCCTGTCCCGTCTGTCTCTGATCTTCCTGTCCCGTCTGTCTCTGATCTTCCTGTCCCGTCTGTCTCTGATCTTCCTGTCCCGTCTGTCTCTGATCTTCCTGTCCCGTCTGTCTCTGATCTTCCTGTCCCGTCTGTCTCTGATCTTCCTGTCCTGTCTGTCTCTGATCTTCCTGTCCTGTCTGTCTCTGATCTTCCTGTCCTGTCTGTCTCTGATCTTCCTGTCCCGTCTGTCTCTGATCTTCCTGTCCTGTCTGTCTCTGATCTTCCTGTCCTGTCTGTCTCTGATCTTACTGTCCTGTCTGTCTCTGATCTTACTGTCCTGTCTGTCTCTGATCTTCCTGTCCCGTCTGTCTCTGATCTTCCTGTCCCGTCTGTCTCTGATCTTCCTGTCCTGTCCTGTCTGTCTCTGATCTTCCTGTCCTGTCTGTCTCTGATCTTCCTGTCCTGTCTGTCTCTGATCTTCCTGTCCCTTCTGTCTCTCATCTTCCTGTCCTGTCTGTCTCAGATCTTCCTGTCCTGTCTGTCTCTGATCTTCCTGTCCCGTCTGTCTCGGATCTTCCTGTCCTGTCCTGTCTGTCTCTGATCTTCCTGTCCCGTCTGTCTCTGATCTTCCTGTCCCGTCTGTCTCTGATCTTCCTGTCCCGTCTGTCTCTGATCTTCCTGTCCTGTCTGTCTCTGATCTTCCTGTCCCGTCTGTCTCTGATCTTCCTGTCCTGTCCTGTCTGTCTCTGATCTTCCTGTCCTGTCTGTCTCTGATCTTCCTGTCCCGTCTGTCTCTGATCTTCCTGTCCTGTCTGTCTCTGATCTTACTGTCCTGTCTGTCTCTGATCTTACTGTCCTGTCTGTCTCTGATCTTCCTGTCCTGTCTGTCTCTGATCTTCCTGTCCTGTCTGTCTCTGATCTTCCTGTCCTGTCTGTCTCTAATCTTACTGTCCTGTCTGTCTCTGATCTTCCTGTCCTGTCTGTCTCTGATCTTCCTGTCCTGTCTGTCTCTGATCTTACTGTCCTGTTTGTCTCTGATCTTCCTGTCCCTTCTGTCTCTCATCTTCCTGTCCTGTCTGTCTCTGATCTTCCTGTCCCGTCTGTCTCTGATCTTCCTGTCCTGTCTGTCTCTGATCTTCCTGTCCCATCTGTCTCTGATCTTCCTGTCCTGTCCTGTCTGTCTCTGATCTTCCTGTCCAGTCCTGTCTGTCTCTGATCTTCCTGTCCCGTCTGTCTCTGATCTTCCTGTCATGTCTGTCTCTGATCTTCCTGTCCTGTCTGTCTCTGATCTTCCTGTCCCGTCTGTCTCTGATCTTCCTGTCCCGTCTGTCTCTGATCTTCCTGTTCCGTCTGTCTCTGATCTTCCTGTCCCGTCTGTCTCTGATCTTCCTGTCCCATCTGTCTCTGATCTTCCTGTCCCGTCTGTCTCTGATCTTCCTGTCCCGTCTGTCTCTGATCTTCCTGTCCTGTCCTGTCTGTCTCTGATCTTCCTGTCCTGTCTGTCTCTGATCTTCCTGTCCCGTCTGTCTCTGATCTTCCTGTCCTGTCTGTCTCTGATCTTCCTGTCCTGTCTGTCTCTGATCTTACTGTCCTGTCTGTCTCTGATCTTACTGTCCTGTCTGTCTCTGATCTTCCTGTCCCGTCTGTCTCTGATCTTCCTGTCCCGTCTGTCTCTGATCTTCCTGTCCTGTCCTGTCTGTCTCTGATCTTCCTGTCCTGTCTGTCTCTGATCTTCCTGTCCTGTCTGTCTCTGATCTTCCTGTCCCTTCTGTCTCTCATCTTCCTGTCCTGTCTGTCTCAGATCTTCCTGTCCTGTCTGTCTCTGATCTTCCTGTCCCGTCTGTCTCTGATCTTCCTGTCCCGTCTGTCTCTGATCTTCCTGTTCCGTCTGTCTCTGATCTTCCTGTCCCGTCTGTCTCTGATCTTCCTGTCCCGTCTGTCTCTGATCTTCCTGTCCCGTCTGTCTCTGATCTTCCTGTCCCGTCTGTCTCTGATCTTCCTGTCCCGTCTGTCTCTGATCTTCCTGTCCTGTCCCGTCTGTCTCTGATCTTCCTGTCCTGTCTGTCTCTGATCTTCCTGTCCCTTCTGTCTCTGATCTTCCTGTCCTGTCTGTCTCTGATCTTCCTGTCCTGTCTGTCTCTGATCTTCCTGTCCTGTCTGTCTCTGATCTTACTGTCCTGTCTGTCTCTGATCTTACTGTCCCGTCTGTCTCTGATCTTCCTGTCCCGTCTGTCTCTGATCTTCCTGTCCCGTCTGTCTCTGATCTTCCTGTCCCGTCTGTCTCTGATCTTCCTGTCCCGTCTGTCTCTGATCTTCCTGTCCTGTCCTGTCTGTCTCTGATCTTCCTGTCCTGTCCTGTCTGTCTCTGATCTTCCTGTCCTGTCCTGTCTGTCTCTGATCTTACTGTCCTGTCTGTCTCTGATCTTACTGTCCTGTCCTGTCTGTCTCTGATCTTCCTGTCCTGTCCTGTCTGTCTCTGATCTTACTGTCCTGTCTGTCTCTGATCTTACTGTCCTGTCTGTCTCTGATCTTCCTGTCCCTGTCTCTCATCTTCCTGTCCTGTCTGTCTCTGATCTTCCTGTCCTGTCTGTCTCTGATCTTCCTGTCCCGTCTGTCTCTGATCTTCCTGTCCTGTCCTGTCTGTCTCTGATCTTCCTGTCCTGTCCTGTCCGTCTCTGATCTTCCTGTCCTGTCCTGTCTGTCTCTGATCTTACTGTCCTGTCTGTCTCTGATCTTCCTGTCCCTGTCTCTCATCTTCCTGTCCTGTCTGTCTCTGATCTTCCTGTCCTGTCTGTCTCTGATCTTCCTGTCCTGTCTGTCTCTGGTCTTACTGTCCTGTCTGTCTCTGGTCTTTCTGTCCTGTCCTGTCTGTCTCTGATCTTCCTGTCCTGTCCTGTCTGTCTCTCATCTTCCTGTCCTGTCTGTCTCTGATCTTACTGTCCTGTCTGTCTCTGATCTTACTGTCCTGTCTGTCTCTGATCTTCCTGTCCCTTCTGTCTCTCGTCTTCCTGTCCTGTCTGTCTCTGATCTTCCTGTCCTGTCCTGTCTGTCTCTCATCTTCCTGTCCTGTCTGTCTCTGAACTTCCTGTCCTGTCTGTCTCTGATCTTCCTGTCCTGTCTGTCTCTGATCTTCCTGTCCTGTCTGTCTCTGATCTTCCTGTCCTGTCTGTCTCTGATCTTCCTGCATCTCCCAGTCCTCCAGAAAAACTCCTGCCTGCTTCCTTCTTTTTCACCTCACAGGTAACTTTTTAACTAGCGGACCAAATTGATCTATTGACCGCTAAAAAGGCGGAGTGTGCGCCGCGCCAGTGACGAGCGCTGCAGCGGGGTCGCGTCCACACGTCATGCTCAAACACAGACAGAACTTACCAGAGAGACAATGAACAGACACGAATGACTGTGTGTTAATTGTATATTTTTGGTGACGCCACTTAGAAACTTAGAAAATGTTGGGTTTATTCCCACATGTGCGAGCAGGTTCACAACATTAGGAAATTGCTGCAGTACTTGGTGCAAAACTAAGAAACAATCAAACACAGAGAAAGGTCGCAGACTGTGGAACAAACTCCCA